ATAAATTGGATCCACCCCTGAAGCTGCCACCCCAAAGCTGCTCTTCCCTAATTTTTAAAAATGCTAACTTATTTATTTTAATTAGAGGCTAATTACTTCACAACATTGTAGTGTTTTTTTGCCATACATTGATACCAATCAGCCATGGATGTACATGTGTCCCGCAACCTAAGCCCTCTTCCCACCTCCCTCCCCATCCCATTTCTCAGGGTTGTCCCAGTGCTCTGGCTTTGAGTGCCCTGTTTCATGCATTGAAGTTGGACTGGTCATCTATTTCACATATGGTAATATACATGTCCCACCCTCGCCTTCTCCCACAGAGTCCAAAAATCTGTTCTTTATATATGTGTCTCTTTTGCTGTCTCGAGTATAGGGTCATCATTACCATCTTTCTAAATTCCATATATATGCGTTAATACACTGTATTGGTGTTTTTATTTCTGACTTACTTCACTCTGTATAACAGGCTCCAGTTTCATCCACCTTATTAGAACTGATTCAAATGCATTCTTTTTAATAGCTGAGTAATATTCCATTGTGCATATGTACCACAACTTTCTTATCCATTCGTCTGCTGATGGACATCTAGGTTGCTTCCATGTCCTAGCTATTGTAAACATTGCTGCGATAAAAATTGGTGTACACGTGTCTCTTTCAATTCTAGTTTCCTCGGTGTGTTTGCACACCTGGCTGGAAGAAGAGCTGAAGGGGAAATGCCTTATGTAGCAATAAATTGGATCCACCCCTGAAGCTGCCACCCCAAAGCTGCTCTTCCCTAATTTTTAAAAATGCTAATTTATTTATTTTAATTAGAGGCTAATTACTTCACAACATTGTAGTGTTTTTTTGCCATACATTGATACCAATCAGCCATGGATGTACATGTGTCCCGCAACCTAAGCCCTCTTCCCACCTCCCTCCCCATCCCATTTCTCAGGGTTGTCCCAGTGCTCTGGCTTTGAGTGCCCTGTTTCATGCATTGAAGTTGGACTGGTCATCTATTTCACATATGGTAATATACATGTCCCACCCTCGCCTTCTCCCACAGAGTCCAAAAGTCTGTTCTTTATATATGTGTTTCTTTTGCTGTCTCGCGTATAGGGTCATCATTACCATCTTTCTAAATTCCATATATATGCGTTAATACACTGTATTGGTGTTTTTATTTCTGACTTACTTCACTCTGTATAACAGGCTCCAGTTTCATCCACCTTATTAGAACTGATTCAAATGCATTCTTTTTAATAGCTGAGTAATATTCCATTGTGCATATGTACCACAACTTTCTTATCCATTCGTCTGCTGATGGACATCTAGGTTGCTTCCATGTCCTAGCTATTGTAAACATTGCTGCGATAAAAATTGGTGTACACGTGTCTCTTTCAATTCTAGTTTCCTCGGTGTGTGTGCCCAGCAGTGAGATTGCTGGGTCATACGGCAGTTCTATTTCCAGCTTTTTAAGGAATCTCCACACTGCCCCAATGCTGCTCTTCCTTAATTTTTGCCTCAGCCCAATTAAATTCTTCCCAGATACCCCCCTGTTTTGTTTATCCTTTATCCTTCCCATCTCTCCACCTACAACTAGCCCAGGTCCACACAGTGCCCTCATGTCACATGAGTTTTCCTGTTGCCTTTGCTTCCCAGGACACAGAGGGGAAGTGGAAACAGGGCTTAGACCTGGAAGACGTGTGATCCGGTCCAGTCTGGCTCTGACTAGATGAGTGACCCCAAACAAGTGATTTAACCTCTGAACTTTGACTTCTTTATCTGTAGAACATAAGGGGTTGTAATGATGCTCATGTGGGATGTTGTAGATACACAGACTTGAAAGTTATAAAACATACAAGAATTGTTCTTCTTTTCATATTTTCAGCATCCTGCTGGTGAGAGGAGAAGGGAAGGGCACAATACTATGGCTGTTCTTGCAGGATTCTGGAGCATACCGCCTTGCGCTTCCTGGCCACAGTCTGCCTAACCAGCCACTTCAATGCTCTTCATTATTCATTCATTCAATAAATACTTACTGAGTGCCCACCGTGTGCCAAGCACTGTCGAACGTTCTGGGAATAGAACAATGAAGATAGTAGACTAAATATTCAGCTCTCATAGAGTGTGCATTCTGGTAGGCAGAGGAAAAGCCTGTGGGCACTTAGGGTAAATACATACTACCTGGAGAGTGCTGCCATGCATATCTCTGGCCCTTTGTTACCCCACCGGTGCCAAGCGGGGACAAAGGAGAGAGACAGAGAGGAGAGGAATGCAGGAAAAAGAAGCTGAAAGAATCCAATCATACTAGAATCCAGAAATGGGCCTGGTTTCATTAAAGTTAAGTGTCCATACACCACTTAGCTACCTCAGTTAAGAATGCAAAACAACAAATCTAATTATGAGGAAACATCAGAGAAACCCAATACCGGAACATTCTTTTTTTCTATTTTAATATAACAAAAGGCAAGGAAGCCTGAGGACAAATTAAGAAGACTAAACCGACATGAAAAATAAATATAGTACCTAATCTTGACTGCCTCCTGTATTGGAGGGTGAGGGGAGAAGACTGCTATAAAGTTCATTATTGGGTCAATGGAAAAAATGGAATGCAGAAGTTAGATTAAATTGATTCAAGTTATGTAAGAGGATACCCTTTATTCTTCAAAAATACAAAGAAAGAGAAGAAAGGAGGCAGGGAGAGAAGGAGGGAACAAATGATAAGATGTGAAAATTAATAAGCAGAAACCTCATTTTAAATTGAGTCAGGAGTACAGAAAGGGGAACTCTCACAACCTACCAACAGGTAGAGACTCAACAGGAAGAGACAGCTTTGCATCTCCAATAAGAAGGTTACTACTTTAGTTTCCAGCAGAAGGAAAGAAAATTTTCTCCTTGCTCAGAAACAGCCCAGCCAATAAGAGACTGTCACAATTGAGACAATGAAAAGCCACACTTTCAAATCCCCAGTTTCCTCTTTGTTTATGACAGTCCCTTCCAAGTCACCCTTCTCCACTAAAAAAAAAGTCCTCTTCCTTGTTCTGCAGATTTGCCTGTGGGTTGCCATAAATTGCTGACCAAGAATTGCAATTCTTTGCTGTTCTCAAGTAAACCCAATTTGCTGATAAAAGAACTGGCTATTTTATTGCTTTAGATAAAAAAAGTAAATGGAGCAAATTGTCAGCAGTAGGTGAATTTGAGTAAAGATTACACATCTTCTCTGTACTATCTTTGCAAATTCTCCAAATAAGACTTTTTTTTTTTTTTAATTGTAGTGGTTTTTGCCATACATTGACATGAATCAGCCATGGATTTACATGTGTTCCCCTTCCCGACAAATAAGACTTTTTTTTTTTCTATTTATTTTTATTAGTTGGAGGCTAATTACTTTACATCATTACAGTAGTTTTTGTCATACATTGAAATGAATAGCCATGGATTTACATGTATTCCCCATCCCGGTCCCCCCTCCCACCTCCCTCTCCACCCGATCCCTCTGGGTCTTCCCAGTGCACCAGACCCAAGCACTTGTCTCATGCACCCAACCTGGGCTGGTGATCTGTTTTACCCTAGATAATATACATGTTTCAATGCTGTTCTCTTGAAACATCCCACCCCAAATAAGACTTTTTTAAAAATGTGTCCACCGAACCCAGACTTTAAGCCCAATCCCCTTTTAAACTGTTGCATGACCCTAACTCCCTTCCTCTCTCTGGGTCTCACTTTCTAGTCCAGATGGTTTCTAAGGTTCTCTCTGACTCTGGCAATCAATGTTCCACAACTCAGGTCGCTTCTAGACAGGGCTTTGGAAAGATAGCCCCTCCGTCTCTCAGTCCACCAGTTACTTCGCAACTTTATCCCGCGTGCACACCCGCCCTCGTTCATCAGCCATAAACTTGCCCTTGCCCATCTCGTCCATCAGCCAGCAGGCCCAGCTACTCCTTCTGAGCGCCTTAGGGCTCATCTTCTGGTAGCCTCCAGCTTCAGTTCACAACAGGCACGTGCATTTAGCCCCCAAGAAACTACGGCTCCCTAAATGCTTTGCGGCAACCTCTGGGCCTTCAGTACCACCAAAGACAAAAGGTTTTTCAGCGCAGGTCAGCCCCTGCATGGCTTTTTGGGAATTGTAGTTCACCTGCGAAGAGCCTGGGAACAACAGTAAGGCTGCAAGCCACCGTTCCCAGAATGCATAGCGCTCGTCGTCACCAATCCGAAGCGCGGATCTTGGTAGTAGGGCGGGGACGTGGCGGGGGTTTTCGGGGGCCGGGGCATTTTTTGGTTGGGGATTTCTTTTGGGGTTCGGGTTGGAGGCGGTTGGGATTGTTGGGGGGGGGTTTTGTTTGGGTTCTTGGGTTTTTTGCGTTTCCCCTTCGGGTTTCCCTTTGTTTTCAGTTTGGGGGGGGCGGGTTTTTTGCTTGGTTCGGCTTGTTTTGGGGGGGGAGGGGGTGAGCCTGGGAGGAGCCAGGAGTTGCGTAGAGGGAGGTAGGTGTGTATGGGGGCAGGGTGAGGAATAATCCAGAAGCTATTAGGAATGGAAAGGCCGAGGGGTCAGGACTGGGCGTCCTGATCGCGGGAATGGAGTAGTTAAGTGCACGGATAGAGATGAAGATACTTAGAAGTTGAGGCCTGAGAAGGAGGGCGAGAAGCTGAAGTGGCCGACGACAGTGGGGCGGAGAAAAGACAAAGTTTAAGTGCAAGGACAGATTGTAGAGCGGTCAGGCGCGCTCCCGCCCACCCCGACCTGTTCCAGGGCTGTTGCTCGCGGTGCAGCTGTTTAGTGCCTTTTTGGCCCTGTTATTTCTCGTGATTTGTTGGCCCCAGAACGTCAGCCAGGGCCTGCTTCCATAATAACAGGTCATTCATTCTTAATACCTGATGTTGAGAAACCGTGGTGAGGAGTTAACCGTGGTCGGTCTTCTAGAATTAGACCTCCAGGTTCTAATCCTGGTTGCCTCCTTCGTAGCTGCCTGATCTTGGGCTTCTCATGTAACTTAACTTCTCTTTGTGCTTCAGTTTCCTCATCTGTGTAATCCTCTACTTCATAGGGGTTGATGTGAAGATTAAATACACAAATTGCTGTTAGAAGACTGCCTATTGTAAAGGTTAGCTGCTACTGTTGTTTTGTTGTTGGAATCACGTTCTTTTCTGAATCAAAATCGCACAGAACCAACCCCTCTTCTGGAGCCTCTCTTCTGGGGCCTGCAGGTCCAGGAGATGAGAGGCTGTTTTGGTATGGTGCTAAGTTTTCTATGGGTAATCCAGCCCATGCCTTCTTCCCATTTTGAACCAATACCCGAGTGGCCATTTCTTAAGTAGTAGAAAAAGAAAGCAGCGGGAAAAGATCAGAGGAATTGATTATACACTTTTACAAGCTGCAGAGTGTTATTTATGAAATGTCTTTCAGTTGAAGATTTAGAGCTCTCAGGAATGGGGAAATAAATTGCTAGCTTGAGAAATGCATGGGATGCCTCAGAGAGGGCTTCCTCTGAGGATTGGGGATTGAGTTGTTTTGTTTGTTTTGTTTTTACCCCCTTAGGTGTGAGTGGGTCCAGCCAAAGGAGACATGGCTGCCAAAGTGTTTGAGTCCATTGGCAAGTTTGGTCTTGCCTTAGCCGTTGCAGGAGGCGTGGTGAACTCTGCCTTGTATAATGGTGAGGCGCTGAGGGGTGGTGGGTCACTGACCTTTGCCAGAGGATTTTCATTGGTCTGCCTAGCCCATGTGACACTCCTGTTGGCAAGCGCTTGCTGTGAATATATTTGTGACCAAGAAGGCTCACCTGCTGCCATCCTGCACCATATGATGGCCTTGTCATCAGAACCTCTGTCCTTGTAGCCATAGGTTCTCTCAGAGCCTTTATTTACAGAGAGTCTCCCAACCTAGTTGGGTGTTTCTACCTTCTCTTGTTAAAGTGATGCTGTAGCAGTATGTCAGGATTTTGCTGGCCAGTTGAAATGGAGAGTGCGTTCTCTTCTGCTTGTGTGGGAAGTAACTCAGCAAGGTCTTTAGACCTTTGGTGACCTTGATCTGAGCAGAAACTTTTGCTCTGCTCTAGTTGAGTTGTTCCCGAGAAAATATCTTTGAGATACATTGCCCAGCTTTTAACAGTGTAACCAGACTTTAAGCTGTCTTTTGGGGACTTCCCTGGTAGTCCAGTGGTTAAGACTGCAGGGGGCGCAGGTTTGGTCCCTGGTTGGCGAATTAAGATCCTGCAGGTGGAGCGGTGTGGCCAAAAATTTAAAAAATAAAACCAGCTAGGTTTTCTTCTACTTTTCTGGGTGACCTTAGGCAAGTCACCTTCCCCTCCATAGGACTCAGCTTTCTCGTTGGTCAAGCAGCAGGACTGAACTAGTTTGTGTCTAAGACCCCTCCTGCTTTGATATTCTCTTAACTTCACTGTTGGAAAACAGCAGTAGATTGACCCACCTCACGCGAGACTCTGACAGCAGGAGGATTACTTTCAGAGTGAGGATACTGGACCAACTGTAAAGTCCAAAAAGGCAGAGACAGAAAGTGGCTGATAGAAAAGCCTACTCAGCTTCTGTGGCCCAGCTTTATACACTGATCTTTTTGGCCACCCTGCATGGCTAGACTATAATCACCATCATTAATTTCTTTCTGAAATTAGCAAGACAGTTCTATAACCCCTTCAGACTTTAGAGAAACCAAGCTGTTGGAAAGAAAAAAATGAGGACTTCCAAATTTTAGGATTGCCATAGGAAGGGTGCTGCTTCTGGGAACACTGGGTTAAATTGGAACCAGGATGGACTGTGAGTTTTAGAAGGAAGTTTTGGGAGCTGATTCCTAGGAATGTGTTGGTGGGAGTTCACGGGTGGAGTGGTTAATCAGAAAATCAGCAGCCAGTTTCACGGAGGAAGAATGCTGAGAATAGATCCTGTTACTGAAGTCCTTGGGAGGACACAAAACAGAAAGTGATTGCTTTGTTTTGTAGCTGTTAAGAATCCCCTGGAGTCCTGAAGTGTGGGAAGACAGAGCAAGAGACCTACTATATGAACAGAACACACCAGGGGTCTTTCAGGCATGATCCTTTTGGTTAAAGGGTGAGGGTTTTTTTCTGACCTGTTGTTATCCTTCATTCCCAGTGGATGCTGGGCACAGAGCTGTCATCTTTGACCGGTTCCGGGGAGTTCAGGACATTGTCGTAGGAGAAGGGACTCACTTCCTCATCCCTTGGGTACAGAAACCAATCATCTTTGACTGCCGCTCTCGACCACGTAACGTGCCAGTAATCACTGGTAGCAAAGGTGAGTCTCATCTGTGGGTCAGGTAGAAGTAGAGTGTGTGGAACGGGTGCTGTGGGATCCAGAATAGGTTGAACTTCCCTAAATATTTTTCCTCAAGAGTTTTATGTGGCTACAGAGAAAGAAATATACAAGCATGCCTCAAGACATATAAGTTCAGTTCCAGACTCCTGCAACAAAGCAAATGTTGTAGTAAAGCGAGTCACACAAATATTTTTGTTTCCCAGTGCATATAGATGTTTATCCCATGCTGTATCCTATTACAGGTGCAATAGCTTTATCTCTAAAGAAACAGTGTACATACCGTGATTAAAAAATACTTTATGGCTAAAAATTGCTAACCATCATCTGAGCCTTCAGTGAATTATAGTAGTAACATCACAGATTACCATAATGAATGTAATAATATTGGGAAAGTTTGGAATATTGTAAGAGTTACCAAAATGTGACTCACAGACTTTCTTGGTAGTTAAGAATCTTCCTTGTAATGCAGGGGATACTGGTTCGATCCCCAGTCAGTGAACTAAGATCCCACAACCAAGGGGGTGCACACGAGCCACAACTAGAGAGTCCCCGTATTGCAGCAAAAGATCCCGTGTGCCACAACTAATACCCAAATCAGCCAAATAAATATTTTTTAAAATGTGACACAGACATGAAGTGAGAAGGTGCTGTTAGAAAAATGGTGGTGATAAACTTGCTTGATACAGTGTTGCCCCAGACCTTCAATTTGTAGGAAATACGGTGTATGCGAAGCACAATTAAATGAGGTGTGCCTGTATATTCAAGATACATACACAACTGTATGAATTTAGAGACATGAACAGATACATTTCAGTAGTTGCATAGCGATCCAGTTTTAAAGAAATCTGAATGTGCCTTTGCTGTCTCTCTTGGTTGACCCTTCCCATCAGTTCTTGTTCCCCCACGGTGACTGTAAACTGATCTCCAGCTGTTGTGTTTGCCTTCACAGCTGACTTACCCTTTGCCTTGCTTTCCAAGGCCTATGTCTCCAGCAGTGCTGCTGTCACACTGTTACCTTCTGGGCCAAGGCACACGTCCCTGAGAGCAATCTGGTGTCTGACATGCCACTGACTCCCTAGCTGGAGCCTGAAATGAATTGCTATCACGGTTCTTCCCCCACATCATACACACAGAGGTGCACCGCAGTAAATGGAGCGGCAGATGCTGGCTTGGCTGTGACCATTCTGTGCGAGAGGAGAGGGTCACGTGGATGTTCCTTGGCAGATGTTTGCTTTCTACAGTCGTGTCAGGCTTTGTGCTGGGTTGGAGTGTGGGGTAGTTCATTGATGAGTGAAGCAGGAGCCTTTAAGAGCTCGATCTAGCAAGGGAGACAGATGTGGACAGGCGTTGAGAATTGGGGTGTGGTGAATGCAGTGTGTAGGAGAGCAGAGGGGAACTGTGAGGAACAGGCGTCTGTGCTGGTGCTTGAGAATGAGAAGTGTTGTTGGACAGGGGAGGGGACAGGGTATTGTCTAATCCATCCTGTTTCTCCCAGCGAGGGAGAGGACGAGCCTCCTCTAAAGGGTCTGGCCTGCCTACTGCTTCAGAGGAGATCAACAGTGGGGTGGGGTTCATTAAGAAACATCTTATCTTAACTTAAAGGCCTTAATGAGCGCGTGTGTAACCATTTCCCACTCTGGTGCCTGGTTCAGAACTCATCTCATGGGCACTTGGTCCATATTGTTGATGACTGCAAGCAGTGCCTCAGCTCCAAGCACAGCTGGATTGTCAGGGGAAGTTGTAATTCCCTGGGTCCTTTGACTGCTTTGACTGGTAATGAGAAGCGGTCTCTCGATGAGTCTGATAACCCCTCACCTCTGTTGCATATTTGACAGAGTGCTTTTGTACCCGTTTCCTCCTTCAGTTTCTCCCAACATGCCTGGAAGGCAGATGATATCATCCCCATTCGTACTGACGAGGAAATAAGCTGAGAGAGGCTAAGGCTTAGTGGGGCCGTGTAATAAGTAAACATCAGAGTTAAGGCATAGCCAGTCCCTGGACGGCTAGTCCACTGGACCCACAATCACCTCTCCAAAGCATACTCCTGCCTTGAGCCACATTTAACCCGGCCTTGGAGAGGCCTTATCCTAGAATTCTTGGCATTGGCCTATTTCTTTGCTTAAAATATTCATTATTCCAGAGATTCCATGGCACCTACTAGACCTGTAATCAGAATTTGCTCGTGTCAGAGGGCATTCAGGACACGAAAAAGCTGTCATCACCAGAATCCTTTGGGGAGTTATTAGCACTGGTGCTCTGCTGGGTTCTCTACCAAAGAAACCATGAACCTGTGCACCTCACCTTGAAGGATTTGTTAATCAGCAACTTTACTTATAAATTGTAGCAGATTTGGCATAGGGGAGGTCATAGGAGGCCATGTGATTTGTATTTTTAACTCCAGCATTTGTGCCCTGCCCTCAGATTTACAGAATGTCAACATCACCCTGCGCATCCTCTTCCGGCCGGTTGCTAGTCAGCTTCCTCGCATCTTCACCAGCATTGGAGAGGACTACGATGAGCGCGTGCTGCCGTCCATCACTACAGAGATCCTCAAGTCCGTGGTGGTGAGTGAGCAGGGCCTCGGCCTCGAGCCCAGCCCCCAAGAGCGCACTCAGTGGCAGGAAGAGCTTGGTGATGGCTGATTGGGATTCTGCTTCTTTGCCATCATGACTGGCTCCTCTGCCTTCCCTTGGAACCAGGCTCGCTTTGATGCTGGAGAACTGATCACCCAGAGAGAGCTGGTCTCCAGACAGGTGAGCGATGACCTCACAGAGCGAGCAGCGACCTTTGGGCTCATCTTGGATGATGTATCCTTGGTAAGGGTCTTGGGGAGCCTGGGGGGTGGGGGGTGGGGGTGCCTGGCTCCATTTCTGGGTAGATACTATGAGGTCGTACCTTGCACTTTCCTTGATGAAGACTTGAAAAGATGGAACCTTCTTAGTGGTATGCAACAGTCTCCTTGGGTTTATTTTCAGATGCGGATTCTTCTACCTCTCCTGTGCCGCAGACATTCCTATTTTGACTTTTGGTCCTCCCCAGGTGGTCCCTAGCCACTAGATTTTTTACCTTCCCCAGACTGAGTGTTCCTCACAGCTCCCCGGGAAGTGCTGTCATGTTTACCTCTTTTGACACAGACAGAAAGTACCCAAGAGACCAGGGAGCAGCTTGGATAGTCTTTTCTCCCTTGCCCAGACCTCCCAGCCTGACCCTTGGGAATTTCCTGACACCTAGGGTTTGAAGTGCCGTGACGGGAACTCTGAGAACTCCCCACGAAAGGTGATAGAGCGTAAATGAATGGTTCCGTCCCCCAAAGCCTGGTATGGGGGCATCTCTGAGGCATGAGTAACCCTCTTGAGAGTGTGTGGTGTGTGTATTTACACGACATGGAATGCCGCGGTGCAGACAGAAAGCAATACAGGCAAGATAGCATTTCAGATCAGGGAGGGTGAGGGAAAGGGGTCGTGTTTCTGATTCTCTGGGAAGAATCAGTTGGAGTGATTTGTTCGGGTAGTGAAGTAGAGTGTTTCCTGTTCCGTCCTCCTGTGCGTCGCTGGGGAAAGGCACCGTTCCCCACTCGGCTTCTGTGCAGCTGTTTAAACAGTCACCCTGCGCACACCCGTCGCTCACCCCGGGACGCTGCCTCCGTGGAAGGCTTTTGGGTTCCTTCCACTGGCAAGATGCCAGGCTGCAGCCACTTGGCCCTTGTGGCCAGAGCAGTTTCTCAGGCCCTCCCACTTAGTGTTAATCTAAACATCTCGGCCATGAGAACGTAGTAAAAACCTAAGGAGAACCTTGGCATTTTGCTAAATTTTAACCGCATAGTCCATTCTGGGGAAATGCAGGTTGACCACAAGAAACAGTGTCTAAGAGGTGTGAGGAGAAAATTGGGTTTCATGGGGAGTTTGCTGCTTTCAGCTGGCTCTTCTGGAAAAAAATTTTATTCCTTAATATGCGCATTTCATTTTCACTTCTCAGGATCGTATTTTCTTCCGCAAACTTTGAACAGGAATCCAGAAATGGAGCAAGCAAGGTAGAACAGCTGCAGTATAAGAGTTAGAAGTGTTAAAAATTCTGAAAAGACAATGGACTGCAATTTACTCTCCAGAAGAGGTTTTGAGCCGCTTATTTTTTTTTTAAAGCAGAAGTTGGGAGTGTGGGGGTGGAATGATAGCACCCCAAGTAGAATTTGATAGCAAAACCCATACTACTCTCCCCTTTATTCTTCCCGTTTAATAAAAAGTTAGATAAATAAATAAATTAGACTTTAGGAGTGCTGAGCTCTGTTCCCATTGTTTGCACTTGGTCACTAGGGAAGGCCTATGCATAATCAGAATTTTAAACCTTCACCCTAACAGTAATCTTTACCTGCTTTCTCTTTCTTTTAAACCTTTTACCATAAGCGCTTGCTCATAAGGAATACTGTGATTTGCAAAATCATGATTTGGAAGTCTCACTCATCCTCTTCCTGTTTTGTGGTAGAGATGCTGTGAGAAAGCAGTGGACTGGTTAATCTATAAGCAGAGAGCCTCACACTCTGGAATGCCTGAGAACCAGCTGCGTGCCTCACTCTCAGGGGCTCGGTTTTCTGTCTGGTCTCAGGGGCTTTGAACAGGCCATCAAAGGGCCTTGGAAGAGCCCCTGTCGGTGGTGGGGGTCCTGGAGCCCACAGTTCTCCTCCCCTAGGGAGGTGGTCCGTTGAGTAGACACCTTCTGGTGCCCGTGGGCTGTTTCCTACCGGAGGACAGTGATGGACAGGAGCACCTCAGGCAGCTGAGGCTTCTGGGCTGTGAACTCAGCTTGGACACGGATGTGGAGGTGGAAGGGTGTTCTGGCCTCATGTTGTCTCCAGCTGCTAGAGCCATTCCTGGCCTCTTCCTCCACCGCCATGGGGGCTCTGCTGCAGCCCTGTCGAAGCAATTACAATGCCTCATCTTGCTCTCACTCTCTCCCCCTAGACGCATCTGACCTTCGGGAAGGAGTTCACAGAAGCGGTGGAAGCCAAACAGGTGGCTCAGCAGGAAGCAGAGAGGGCCAGATTTGTGGTGGAAAAGGTGAGTGCTCAACCAGATGGCAGGAGCCTCTCTCCCCTTTCTCCTGTGCTCAGCCGCCCCGTTCGCTGGGTGGCCTGGAAATTCATCATCTGTCATCTCTTCTTCCGGGATCATCGGAAGGGGGTTGAAAGGACTGTACTCCTGCAATTGGTTCCAGAGTCTTTAGGGTCTAGTCAGGGATATGTGAGGTTATGTTCCTAAATCATTGAAGAGTAATTTCTTTTCCACGTCCCTAAGATCAAAAACACTCTCCCAGAAATAAAAATGTTTCTTCTGGAATATTTTCAGCTTCACTGAGAAGTTGTTTTTAACCTTGGTTACACAGTGAAAGCTGACAGCCTAAAGGATCAAACATTACACCAGATATACTATTGTCGCTGGATTTTTTTCAAGCACTAAATCCATCCAGATGTGTCAGAGTGTGCTGGGATGCGGTGGATTTGCACAGGGCCTGGTCTTCCAGTCTTTGCAAAGGTGTATTATTTCATGTATCTCCTTCTTCCCACCACTAATACACTTGGATTTTTATTCCTAATCCAAGATGCCTTAGTCCTTAGAATCAAGCAAAGAGAGATATATGGGTAGATGTTTTACTTCAAAGAATATAGACTCCGTGTGGGTGGAGATTTTTTTTTCTTTTTTCTGCCTCTCTCCAGCTTCTAGAACATGTCCAGAACCGTGCCTGAGGTAGATACTAGGTATCCTTAAACATTTGTCGAGTGAACAGCCCCAGAGCCTCAGTTGAGCAGCTGTGTGTTAATCTCAGAGAGGCTCTGCACAGTGCTCTCCTCCCACCCTTCTGAAGGTCATGCATTGCAGAGAGACGTCTTCCTGTTGATAAGAGCTGGGAAAGCCAGGAGGTCTTGTACTGGCTGCCCAAGTTCCTGGTCGGGAACCCCTTCACCCCGCACTCTAAGGAGCATCCTGTGCCTGCTGCTCCTACTTGGCTGCACTGGTTTTGATGAAAGTCACTTTGACTTCGGCCTGGAGGGAAAGATGAGGATTGAGTCTACCTTTCTTTCTTGCTTTCCGTGGCCTGGGATCCTCCAGGCTCATAGTAGATGGCTGGCCTCAGTTGCTGTTAATGTTATTGAGGACTTTGAAATAAGACAGCTCTCTATACAGCCAAGCGAAATGTGTCCCTATAGTAGTGAGCAATGGGCATGATGGGGGAACGGAGAATTGGGTGAACAGTGTTTGTTGAGCCCTTCAAAATCCCAGAGCTCATTCAGGACCCAGAGAGGGTGCCTAACGCAGCCCTTGTTAGGCTGTAACCCACCATCCATGCCCCAGGGTGTCATCTTGGTCTCTGCCTCCACCCTCGCAGGCTGAGCAGCAGAAGAAGGCAGCCATCATCTCTGCAGAGGGCGACTCCAAGGCGGCGGAGTTGATCGCCAACTCACTCGCCACCGCAGGCGACGGCCTGATCGAGCTGCGCAAGCTGGAGGCCGCGGAAGACATCGCGTACCAGCTGTCGCGCTCGCGGAACATCACCTACCTGCCCGCCGGGCAGTCGGTGCTCCTCCAGCTGCCCCAGTGAGGCCCACGCCTCCTGGGCCATCTGGACCACAGCCCCGAAGTTGCTCAGCACCACTTTCCTTCTCCTGCCCCAGAAATCACTGTGAAACTTCATGATTGGCTTAAAGTGAAGGAAATAAAACTAAAATCACTTCAGATCTCTTAATTACTCAATCAGATTAAATTCTTTGATTTTTCTCATTTCCATCCCCCTTTTTTTTTAATATACCTTCTTACCCAAAATTGCTAAGTGCCTACACAGACCAGCTTGGCTCCTATCTTTGGGGCCGGCTGGCATTCCTGCCCAGGCACTGACAATTGGCAGAAGAAAGGCAGGGCCTTGTGTGTCAATGAGCTGGGAGTCAGTGGGAGGCCTGAGTAAACTTGTAGCCTCCAACCAGCCCTTCATTCAGGATTTGAGGAAGATGGCACACGCAGATGAATGGTGAACACAGGCCTCAGATTTCTCCAGTGGTTCCTGCACAGACCCAGCTGAAGAGAGGTGTTGGGAGGGTCAGAGAGGAAGTGATCCATCTCTTACCATAAAGCTGATGCTCTGTAACTGCGGGACTAGCGGAAGCAGGTGTGTACAAACGGCACGGATCGAAGAATCTGCTTCCGTGAAGGTGGGTGGGCCTGATTTGATTTGCTCTCCCCTCGCCCCAGAATCCTGGAATGGATTTGAATAGAGAGAGCAGGCCTGGACCGAGATGAGAGTCCTGTGGCCTTCCTCTCCACCTCCCACCTTCGTGTCTCAAATACCCGGCGGATTTCCAGCTTGAAGGATTGCATCCGGCCAGAGCTGTACGGGCCTGCCAGAGACGTGTGCATCCAGTGTTCCTGGCTCCTTGGTTCAGAGACTGCCCTTCTAGAGGGCTCTGTGCCTGTGCCTTGAAGGAAATGACCATGGGAAGAAGACAAATGTGTGTAAACTACTATCAATAAATGACACCCAGACCTTCTAGCTCAGTCTTATGGGTTTGTTTTGTTTGTGGGAACCATGGGCTCAGGACAGAACATTCCAGCAATCTTTGTGTGCACATTTGTATCACCAGAGAGGACAGACTCTCCGGCAGGGCAGGAAATGCTTTAGTTTCAGAAAACACTGCGTTGCCGTGTTCCAGATCCATCCCCAGCCTGAAATTAATCAGTGGTGTCAAGTGAGGTTTATCATGACATGGGTACTTAGAAGGTAAGGTCGGATGGAGGTTTGTTAACTTCCTTTGTTATCTTTGAGTTGGGAGCTGTAGGCACATTTGCTGAAAGAGGGGTTGACATAAAATACTCTGTGCCAAGCCCTCAGTGCGCTCTGGTTGGACTGACACAGTAGATGGCTTCAGGTGCCTTGCCTGTCATGGGATTGTATTGCTTATTCTGCTTTACTTTGATGTGGAAAGGCCTTGGTCTTTGAAGGGCGGGGGGAGGGGGAGCAGGATTGAGAAATGAGCTGTGCCGGTCACCCACCTCAGATCCTTTCAGGAACAAAACGGAAACAAGTGTGCAGTCAGCACCCACACTGTGCTTTCACCTCTGCTTTCAGCTTAATCCCAGGCTCACCACCTGGCCAAGGAGAGCGGCCTCTTAAGAGGCCTCTGCAGGCTGGTCTGTGACCTGGATTCTGCATTTCCTCTCCCAGAGTGGTAGGGCCAGCTGTCAGCTGGGAAAGGGGTGGGCCGGGGACGGAGTTCTCCCGGCACCCACCCAGCTCCCCACCCAGGGCCCCTCCGCAGGGATCACATCCCTTCCCGCCACTGTGAGCATGCCGACATGCGTGTGATGGGCTCGTGACCCTCAGCTGAACTTCCCACCACAGCTTCATTCTGATGCTGAGCGAGCCTTGTTCAGCCCATCACCTCACCACCTCCCTGGCATCAGTCATCTCAAGATAACTCTTCCTACTTGTGTAGTTTTGCAGTAAGTAGCGATGCCTGCAAGTGGTGAGGTGCCTGAGCTCAAAACGCATGGAAGACTGGAGCAGAAAGAGCTTGACTGCTAAATAGGTTCCAGACCTGCTTCCACTCGGCGGCCTTCCTCCTTTCCTGCCGTTTATTGCTATGGACACCCTGGGGGGTGGGGGGGCAGTGCAGGAGGCGCCTCTCTGCCCCAGGCCCTTTTTAAAAGAGCAGTTTGTTTCCCGCATTTGGCAGGAGATTGGATTTCCCACCCAGGTGTGTGAGGGGAGCCCTCCCTAGCTTCTGAGTTCTTTCTGCCTCCAGGTCAGCCCTTCAGCAGCAGGCAGGCCAGTTCCTGCTGATTTTGTCTGTAGCCTCCCTGCCACGATTGGTGCCAGTGGTAGCCCGGGGCCTCATTCTGCCTTGACTTCCGCCAAGTAATTCTTTTCACAAATGTTCAAGGGCTGTTAAGTGACTGCTCAGCCCCAGAGTCCCCTGAAGGCCTGCCACAATGGGCTTTTATCAGCTCAGGATTCTCTTGGCCTTGGATCAAAAGCCCTGGCCTGGCCTGGCCTGGGAGGGGGCCACGCAGGGAGGGTCTTCGTCCCTGTCTCCTTTGGTCAGGCTGAATAGCTCTCTTGTTTGGGCCCTGAACTGGGGGAACCTGGGAAAGGAGACCCTCAAAGGTTGCTGCCTTTTATACAAGTTCTGCTGGTATGGACCAAAGTGGGCGGAGCTCTTCCGTCATCCCCAGGTGGGTCAGTTTGAAAGAGAGAGACAACAGAATATTGTCCAAGCCTGGTGTAGCAGATGCTCTTCTAATGAGCCGGTGGTCCAGCCGTCAGCAGGAAAGAGTGTTTAGGCCCTCTCTTGACCTTTGCCATCTGCCAATCCTGTGGGTAAAGCAGCCCATTCTGACTGAAAATAACCTGGGTGAGACAGTCACAGGAAGCTGTAATTGATGCCTTTCCTTGGCCTCCTGTTCATCCTGTACACTCTTCCAAACTTCATTTTTCTTTATTTTTAATTGGAGTATAGTTGCTTTACAATGTTGTATTAGTTTCTGCTCTATAGTAAAATGAATCAGCTATGTGTATACATATCCCAGGTGGCGCTAGTGGTAAAGAACCCTCCTGCAATGCAGGAGACATAATGAGACATCGGTTCAATCCCTGGGTCGGGAAGATTGACCAGGAGAGCCTGGCAACCCCTTCCAGTATTCTTGCTTGGAGAATCCTATGGACAGAGAGCCTGGCGGGCTACAGTCCATAAGATCACAAACAGTTGAACGCGACTGAAGTGACTTAGCACACATACGTATGTGTATATATATATATATATATATATATCCCCTTTTTTGGATTTCCTTCCCGTTTAGGTCACCACAGAGCATTGAATAGAGTTCCCTGTGCTATACTGTAGGTTCTCATTAGTTTTCTATTTTATACATAGTAATGAATATATGTCAACAAACTTCATTTTTCTAAGTAGCTCTCTTCCCCTTTCTCCTTAAAAACCTTCAGCAGCCACTCCTTCCTTGGCTAAAGTGAAATGAAAGTCGCTCAGCTGTTTCCGACTCTTTGCAACCCTCTCCAGGCCAGAATACTGAAATGGGTAGCCTTTCCCTTCTCCAGGCGATCTTCCCAACCCAGGGATCGAACCCAGGTCTCCCACATCGCAGGTGGATTCTTTACCTGCTGAGCCACAAGGGAAGCCCAAGAATACTGGAGTGGGTAGGGTAGCCTATCATCCCTTCTCCAGTGGATCTTCCTGACCCAGGAATCGAACCGGGATCTCCTACATTGCAGATGGATTCTTTTACCAGCTGAGCTAACAGGGAAGCCTCCCTTGGTTAATAAAGTGCAAATACCTTGTTCGGGCATTGGAGGCCTTCCTCTCGCTGCCTTTCTAGTCTAACATACTTGACTGCTTACTGTCGCTTACCTACCTCGTGGCCCCATGGGGTGGGGAGTGCTATTGGAAAATGCAAGTGGAAAGGGACAGCTGCTAGTAGCACTAGGTGACGGGGCGTGCAGGTGACAGGGGCCTACTTTGTTCGGGACAGACTCACGTGACACAAGTCCCAAATGGAATGCTGAAACCCCCCTCTGAAAACACACACCAAACTTCCCCTGTCGGCATACCCCCCACTTTCGCTGCACCCTTCTGCTCACAGTGCCACTTCCTCCAGTCAGCCCTTCCCCCACATTTCACGAGTCCAGATGTCCCCCATCTGTTGTAGCCATGCGTTCAGGAGACAAACTCACCCAGAAAGACGATGCAGATAGTGGAGTGCAGTTTATTAGGGACCCAAAGCAGAGTCTCCTCTTAGCCAAGGACTCCAACCAGTTTTTGTGAAAACCTTATATACCCTAAGTGTACGTGCCCAAACCCACCCCCCCAAATTCCCTGAAACTAGCCTGAACAAAGGAAAAGAAAAATACAATCAACGTTAATCCATTGATTCATATGCCTTAAGCCTAGGTAGTTAACAGTGGACAATTATCAATAGGCCCGTGGTCATACCTCAATAAGCATAATAGAATTTATGATTCTGTTCAGTTACACAGATAATTAGGGTATTCTTTTAGGCTGTGGAAAGTCTAGGTAGGAGCCTTGGGGCTCCTCCATCCGCGGGTCTGGTTTTCCAGTTGGTATGTCGTTGCCATAGATACTGGGCACAGAGCTCAAAGCCCAGAGTCCAGCCCAAGATGGAGTCTGTTCTGTTTCCTCCTCCACACCCTCCATGCCAGCTCAGATTCTTTCTCTAGCACGCACACACCTTCCCTGATCCGCATCCTGTGAAGCACTTCGTGCTCGTTTGGGTGGCAGGTGTGTGTTCTCCCTCCAGCCCTACATTTAAGGAGGGCAGGACCCTTACGCGAGTCAACATTTCCCCTTCCTCTTCTTCCCCTCAACCCCCATGACCTTTTCCCCCAAGTCAAACATGCCTGGCTCTTGGTGGCAGTTACTGAATGTTTGTCAGCCAGATAAAGAGATGAAGAATAGACATACAGGACTGAGGTTAGAGGTGAGGTGAGGGCTTTTCCCCTCGCCATTATGTTAAGTGGCCTTAGGCTGCTCCGAAGCAGGGCTCACAGTCCTGCAGACGGACCCATCCACGAGGGTCCCACTACCCTCTCACTTCCTGCGGCCTGCTTGTGCGGACTCTCCTCTCGCGCTCCTCTGCCCTCCCTTGCTTCTCTCTGGAGCACCTCTCCTCTCTCACCTCCCTCTTTCAATCCTGGTTCCTTTTTGTCTCAAGTCCAATTTAAAATCCGTCTTCTCCAGGAATTTGCCTGTGGCTGACCTCTTCCCACCTTTCTTTACACGTAAGTTCTCCTTTTATTCAAAAGACTTTAGCTCTGGAACTCTGGCAACAGAGGGGTTGAGGATTGAACAAAAAAAGGAGTGAAGAGGCCTGTCCCAGCTGGTAGAGGCTGGGATGCTTTGGCAAGGCCCAGATGCACATGGCTGGAGGAGAGAATGGAAATGTACTGGCCTGGGGAAGCTAGTTTAGATTTGAAAGAGGACAGCTTTGCCCAGGACGCTGTGTGGAGAAGGAGGAGGGTGTATTTCCAGCATCCTCCAATCAAGCTACTTTGGAAGAGAGAGTACAGCTAAAAGGGCAAGGCTACTTTGAAGGAACTGGAAGCTGTTGTCATCCAGGGAAGTTCAGAGGAACCACCTGGATTAGCCAGAAAAGCTTTTTATTGATGACAGTCTTGGACCATCTAAATTTGCCTGAATGAGCTGCAAACATTCAGGTCAGGGGCTGGCAAAGTCTGGCATGCAGGCCACATGCAGCCCATTGCTTGTTTTTGTACAACTCATGAGCTAACAGTGGTTTTCACTGGTTGGAAAAAATCAAAAGAATACTATTTTGTGACACAAAAAAGATATGAAAATCAGCCTTCAGTGTTCATGAGTAGAGTTTTGTTGGAAAGTAACTCTGCATGTTTGCACACAGCAGCAGACTTGAATACTTATAACCGAGATTATATGGCCTGCAAAGCCTAAAGTATTTACTGTCTGTCCCTTTATAGGAAATGTTTGCTGACCTCTGACTTAA